GGCAAGGTCCTTTGAAGCAGGGCTTAAGTGTCTCCTTTCTCTAACCCCAAGTCCAACGATCATGCATCCGGGTTTACTGAGTGCACTGTAGAAGATGGTGATGTGCGTGGCTAAGGTTTATCCTCATCTCCTTGTGACCACTAAGCATCAGTACTACTTAATTTTAGCACACAAATCTGTAAGTCTCCCCCATGCCAGGGCTTCACACGAAAGGGCTTCTGGGAAATTTGTTGGGTGTTTGCCTTTTACAAGTTAGGGACCACCTTCTTCTTCAAAAGACCCCCTCCCAACCCTGTGATCTGTACCTGGGAGCCTGTCCCATGTCTGGCACTGTGTTTCCATGTGAAATGACTCACTTGATCATCAAAGGCAGCTAGATAGGGAAATGAGCTATTGCAACATCCAGCATGCTGCCTAAAGGCAAGGAAAGTGCTGAGGAGATTGTCTCAGCAGTCTCACGCCTAAGTCCCTCACAGGACAGTGAACGCCTTCACCAGGCAAAGAAAGCTTTCACATTTGTCACGCATGACCTGAGAATGAAGGTGACACACAACGTCCCTCCTGGACACTGTCTAAAAGCACAGATATGATGACTGGAAGGCCTGAGTCCTGTGAGCACCATCCATGTACCCTCCCTTCTCTACCACAGCCTCAGTTTCTCTAACTGCACAGAGAGATTTAGGTTGCTAACCTTCCTCTGAGCGTCCTTTTCAGTTCCAACTTTTAAAGAACCATCTCTTAGTCTTTCTGGGGATCAGAGTCTAACCTAGTAATGAAAACTAACCATTCTTTTCCTTTTATTTGTGTGGGAAAAAACTTAGAAATTTAAGATGTACATTCCAAATATATCATGATCACCACTGAAATTTCATGTCACTGGAAAAATCTGAGGTTACATTGTGAAAAAAAGTTTTGGTTCTGGGAATCAGCCCTGATTGGTGAGTCACTGCTACCAGCTGCCTTCATTCCTTTCTGGTTGCCCAGAAGAGCTGGAGCTGGAACTCAGGTATCTGGTCCAGCGGTCCCCATACTCACAGGCAGTCGGCTGTTCTTTGTCAAGTCAGCAGGGGTGTAAATATTCAGGTAGAGACAGTCTTCAGAAAACTGGAGAGGGATGTTCTCCTTTCTGTTGGTGAAAAGCTCTGAGAGCACCTGACCTCCAACTGCATCCTGGGGGCACCTGGGAGGGGAGAGAGAATAGCTGAGGTTCTACTAGATTGAAATTTGAAATATTACCCAGGACCAGACTTTATATGTTGAGTTTTGAGCACATAATTAAAGTTATTCTCATGGGACTGGAGTCATTGTCAGGGATAAGAGAGTCTTTAGGTTCCTGGTGGGACTTATAAGATGCTAGATTCTTCCAAGACTACAGAGGGAGGACTTGGCATCTCTCCCTTTCCTCGAGCCTTTGAGGTACTGTGGACCGTGAAGAGAGACACTCATATGCTGACTGACCTAGACAGTGGAGTTCCCTGCACTGTCTGCACAAGGCCCTGCACCCTGCTAGGTTTGCCCGGTGGGTTATGAGATGACAGCCCTTCTGTAGGTTAATATTCCTTCATCCTTGGAAGTCTTCCATCAACCAGGAAAAAGACCTACAATGACAGACAGCCTGTCACAGGCCAGATGTGTATCTTTGGGGGACACAACAGGAAGACATCCTTCTGGTCCTGCCTCCATCACTGATATATTAGGTAATCTTGGCTGAGTTCCTTGCTTGCTCTGGCTTTAGTCTGCCACAGCCATTCGAGGTGAGTGATGTCTCTAAGGGCCTCACCATCTGGCCTGCTAAAGGTTCTTTCCTCTTCCTATCCCACAATAATCACTGTGCGCTGCCCTGATGAAGAGTCCCACAAGTCCAGTGTAGAGTGGAATTGGTAGCAATACTTGAGTTCTTTGGAGTTCCAGGCACTGATAAACATCTCCTTGAGCAGGAAGTCATTTAAGACTCACATCAGCCCCAAGTGTCCTTGATCCTGTTTCACAGGATGGAGCCTGGCTTCCAGTATATCAAAAAGAAACTGGAGGTGGTCAGATGCCATGTTTCCACAGCTGTCCCATGTCAGAAATGGAACAGGAAAGGCAACTTTCAAGTCTAAGTAATTTTCCTATCCAATGGGAGAAAGGATCACAATTCACAGAAACTGAATATTCAATGAGGGATGAAGAGTTCAACTTCATTAGTGTTTAGAACTTTCAAATAAAGACCAACATTACATTTTTTTATTCTTACAATGTCATGTTGCTTAACCAATATATACATTTTTTAAGGAGGGAAAAACCTGGATAAAGTTCCACTGAATGGAGGTTTTCATGTTTCCATAGGAGAAGTGTGTGCAGTTTAGATATTTCTAGAGACAAACTTGATCAAATTCACTCTTTGACTCAGAAAGGTCACTTCTTGAACTTATCCCCAATTCTCCTGATTGTGTGAAATGACTTGGTTACAGCAAATCCATCACCATGTTGTTATATTGTCAAAGACATTGAAAGAACTTAACCCAAACAAAGGATTGGATGCATAAAGTCTAGTTTCATATCTAGTTTAACATAACTGCTAAACATTGGCTGCTACATTTATAGTGTAGAATAATGTTGATGTTGTAAGTGTGCAAGGAGTCGTCCAAATGTTCTGTACTCATGATCCCTATATAAAGCAAGACAAACTCAAACAAAAGATTGGAAATACAACCTCCAATGCCAGCAGTAATTCTGTGTAGCTGAATTGTACATGATTTTTACCTTCATTTACATTGTGTCTGTGCTTTCCCTGACTTCAGTTTTCAGTATTTGCAATCAGAATGGAAAAAATAGCAAATGATATTTTCAGAAAAAAAATGAATGCAATGATAAGGAGACAGCCAGGAGTGGAATATCAGAACCACCCCCCCAAAGTACCTTGTTGAGGGCACAAATACTGTCTGCACTGACATGTTTAGGAAGCTATCTGGACTCCTTAGGCTTTTTCACTTGGTTTCAAGATTGACTGAGGGACACAACTACTGTTCAGCTGTGACTAGGTGACTGTACAAGACCTGGGTGTGAGAACTTGCAGTCACCCTCACTGTTCTCTTCACTCATATGGCTGCACCATCCACTCTCAAGCAACACCAAGGTTCAAGACAGGAGAATAAGGCATCTTATTTTACTTCATCCTCTTTACTGAAAGAAGTCTACCCCAGGAGCTTACATAGGAGGGTAGGAGATGGCATTCTTCACAAAGTTCCAGGGCTCTGCAGGCTGTGGAGGAGCAAACCTCAGGGATCCAAGAGGAGGCTTGGCAAAGGGGACTCCCAGGAAGACGGCCACAGGCTGTGTGAATCCTTCTAAGCTGACATACTTCCCCAGGACTTTGCCATGAACGGTGTTCACCACGGGTGGTGAGGACGGGTGTCCTGCTGGACAAGAGAACATGAGGATACATCAGTAAGGAAAAGGCAGGCCTGCATTCCTGGTGGGTTTGTCACCTTAGGACTGATAGCATTGATAAAATCATCTGAATCCTTCTGGACCATGCCATTAATTCTAGCACTTGGGAGGCAGAGGCAGGTGGATCTCTGTGAATTCAAGGCCAGCTTGGTCTACAGAGAGTGTTTCAGGACAGCCGGGGCTACCCAGACAAACCCTGTCTCCGAAAACAGACAAACAAACAAACAAAAAAGCATCCAGCCTTAGACCCTGAAGAAAGAGAGGTGCTGGGCATGAATATGAGCTTTGGTTTTCACTGGAAGTGTTCTTCCATTAGGATCCGGGCATTGAGCTGCAAACTGATGGATAAGAGGTGGACCCTGTCCTCAGGATGGCTCACCTTGTAAGGAGAGCAACAGACACACTTGACTTAATGTTGAGATGCATGAGGTTGCATCCTAAGATGGCGCCAGGAAAGGGATGTAGCATGGGGAAAGGGAGTAAGGCCTCCTGATTGGTCACAGAAGAGTTGTGACTTATAGCGTGGGAACGAGGGAAAACAGGAAAGTGGAAAGGGTGGGGCTGCTGCAGCAGGAAGGAGAAAGTGGTGTGGCTCACAGACAGCACAGCACTGGCTGGAAAGGGCAGGAGGGTCCATGGGAGAGAAAGATGATCCTGGATGAGAGAGTGCATGCCAGGGAAGACCCTGAATGACTGGAAAAGGGGTTTTACCTAGTGGAGAAATAAATAGCAGAAATAGCTGTGATAAAGCAGACAAGAAGTTTCTAGAATATTCTTTTTATGGTTCTGAACGTGCTCTTCCGGAGGGGAGAGACTGGACATCAAACCTGTCTGTCCCATTGTGTCCATTCTTGCAGAACAGTCTCTGCAGCTTCCTCGCCATCCTGTTTCTACTCATTGTGGGACCTGCACAAACCAAGCTGGTCTTTCTTCACATGGCTGATGGACTTACAGACCCTGGGTCATGGTCACCCTGATGTCTCCTCTTGTCTGACCTCAGGAGCTCAGTTTGTCAGAACCCTCATTGGGCAGGCCCTGTTCTCTCTTTCTTCAGCTGTTTTCCTTTGAATACAAGCAGTATGTCATCTTCCTCAAAACGTGTGGCCAGAAAAGAAAGGAAAATTCCAAATTTAGTGAAAAATGGCCAACAGAACTGGAGACTCCTCATGGAAATCCAATTATTATCCCTTAGGCTCCCAACAGCTAATTGTACATTGTGAATATTCATGTTGCTGTTAACTAGTTAATACAAAAAAAATGCCAAGGTGAACTTTCTGGTAGATATGTACACACAGTCTCTACTTTAGAATATTCTGGAAGACCATGGAGAATGGGGTGAGAGGCTGACAAGTATATAAGCAGTTCAAAGAGTGAAAGGAGGGTAAAGTCTGAGCAGAAATAGCCTAGGGACTGTGTTAGCTCAGCAGTGACCTTCTACCCTGAAGTAGTTAAAAACAGATTACCCATGGTCAAATGCCTTGTATCAAGTGGATAAACAACAATGGCACAAATATTACGCAATTATGTATTTAAAATTATGTAATAAGGTTACATGCATTACTGAACACTTACTGTGTGCCCAAGTACCTTCAGTCTTTTTAGACAGCTCCTCAAAGAAGCCTGCCAGGTGCCTACTCAACAGGTGAACAAGCAAGATTTCGAAGCAACATGTATCCACTATGTAAAGGTGAAAATAGGATGGCATTGCAGGGTAGCCAGCAACGAAGGAACTTTCTGCTCTGGATTTCTGTCTCTTCTTACTCTGCCTTACAGTTTGTTTCAAGTCTTGCACTGTTACACACGCAGAAAAAGATAAAAATCTAGACAGAGCTTTAAGGGTTCGGATGGCTGAGCACTGGGCTAGACACTAGAGTCAGAGATAGACCTGGGTGGGCATCTTTGATGTTTGGGACTGCATTCCAAGGTAGCCTCAGTTTTTCCTCCATGTAGTGGTACAGATATATGCTAGGACCCCTCATTTCACCTCAGTACTAATGGTGGATTTTGCTTTCTGTATCTGTTGCTTTGGTGCATGAGGCTCTGCATATCCCGAGGGGACTATGATCCCCAGGGCCTAACTAGTACAGCTTCCTACTTTATCTGAGTTTCTTGCCTGGGCTTCCCCATCTGTCCTGATCTCCAAGATCTAAATACACAAAACCTAAAGACAGCCTTCTATCTTCCAGACCCCCTGAGCTGCTCCAGGTAGCCATCCCCGTGCACCTCACTCCTCCTCTCTTCTTGCCCCTGTCCCTCCTAATTGACCCCACTCTTTCCTCTTCTATACCATCCCTGTGATCTGTCCCTGTCTCTTGGGGGCTTGAGTAAAAATCATCATTTCAATGGTCTGATTTAACCATGTCAAAATTTCTATTAATGCATTATGTTTCCAGCCAAACCTTCTGCCTATCTCTTAACCTAACTTATCCTCTAGACCCAGGCCCATCCTAAGTGCTATAGAAACAACCACTCATTTTGTCCTCAGTGAATGAGGAGCTCCTGTCATCTTTATTTTAGAGATGGGGTCATCTAGGCACTGCATCACCTAGGAACTGCAAAGTTAAGGATGTAGACTTGGAGTCATTGCTTGGGAGTCAGCCTTGTATCTTCTATTTATATTTTCAACATTTTGCTCAACTCTCTCTAGGACCTGCTTGCAGAGTGACTAAGAATCACAGGGGAACAGACTAAGGGTTCATCAGCCTCCCTGTATCAGCTGCCTGCACCTGGGTATCCAGTGTCTATCCTGCTCTGTATCTCTGAGAGACTTTGGACTTCATTGCACCGCATCAAGAAACCAAACATCACCAAGAGACCAGGACTGTCTTGTCCTTGCCCTGCAAACATCATCATGCACTTGTGCCCAGAACAAAGAGTGGAAAGGTACACCCAGACATTTGCAATCTGAAAACACTTACCCCAAACTGTGCAAGCAGCAAGAGAAAGCCAGACCAGAGGGTAGGGCCACATTGTGGGTGGACAGGACTCCGCGGGTCTGTGAGGTACCTGCCGCTGCCCTAGCAATGCTTCTGCTGTGGACCCAGGGACCCGCCTCCTCAAATCTTGCTCAACCAGCCCAGTTATGTAATCTTAGATGACAAAAAAGCTCTCCTCTTCCAAAGAGCTCCCTGGGTCAGTTGGGACCTCCAAGCCACGCCCACCAAGAGTTTACCCACTTTATTCTGAACAGTCAGTACCCAATACTCAGATTACAAATGGCCAGGAACTCATCCAACTGCTTCTTATGTAAGCACTTCTCCTCACAACGCTCTTTGCTCTCACCTCAGCACACCTTAAACTCTCACTAGCAGGAAGCAGCAAGCGAGTGCCTGCAAGTTTGGGGGAGTTTGGGCCAGCCTCCCGGGACTGTCATTTCCTAGAATCCATGTCTCAAGTTTGGAAGGAATCTCACCCTCTATCATTCTTCAGATGATTCCAAAATTATCTTTGCAGTACTCCTGCCGAGTGACCGGCCCACCACACGGCACCTTCAGGGTCAAGGAAATCTACCCTTCAGAGAGAGGCCTTTTGAACACAATGTTCTTGCAGTAAATGAGCTCCACCGATCACAATCCTTGCCTCTAAGTGTCCATGCATACACAGATTCTTCAAATACTCACAAGCTGCATGGCCTCTCTTTTCATAGGAACCTACAACAGCAGGTGGCAGTAGGTGCAGCTCCAGAATTGCTGGCTCTCGCCTGTTTCAAGGATGTCACCTCTTTATGCTTTCGTGTCCGGGTACCTCTATTCACACCCCTGTTGTGTATTTGGTTTGTTTTACTTAATCATTTATTTTTAAGTCTTTGAGATGCATCACTGGGTTGTTTTTCCATTTTCATTTGGTTCTAAGAATCTTTAATTAGTTAAAAATTGGGAGATTTCAACTGATTCATTTTGGAAAAAGTTCATGAACTGATGGAATAATAGATGCTCTACAGTTCTGTGAGGGACTGTTCTGTAACTTTAAGTCCATTTGTGCACACTTATGTCTTTTGTACATTTAGACAGTCATGACATAACTACTTTTGCTCTGAGTCCCGTGTGTTGTACTTCCGTTTTCATTTCTTTTAAGAGATTTTGTAATCCTCTCCCTCTTCCCCCTATTTCTTCGATGAATCATTGTTCATTGCAAATTACATTGCTCAATCTCCATTATGCATACTTTCCATGATTTTTTATTTCATTCTCTTATGATCTGACACAATGAAAGAAGTTATTGTAGTTTTTATATTTATATTTATAAATTCTTTGTTTGCTAAGACTTACTTTATTATCTAAAATATGACCTGTTTGGAAAACATTCCATAAGAAGATGAAATGAATGTGGATTCCGTGTCTGTTAGATGGAATTCTCTGTACATTTCTGTGAAGTCCATATGAGGTATTGGGTAATTTAATTCTACTGTTTGTTGACTTTTTTATTTCGATGATCTCCCTGTTGGTAGGAGGAGAATATTGAAATCACCCGTGGTTGTTGTGCTAGAGCTCCTGACATTACTGCTATAGCATTGGTACCCTAACATTGTGTGTATTTGCAATAATTGTGTTTTGTGATGGGTCTGTGTACTGATCAGTGTCTCTTCTGACTCGTTTTGTCATGAAGTCTGTCAAATCAGGCATGTCTACAGCTTCCCTTGTTCACTTTCAGATCCTATTTGCTTGGATGGCCTTTTCCCTCTGTTTGTGGAAGTTTTTCATGGAGAGGTGAGTTTCTTGCAAGCAACAAACCGTTGAGTCCATTTTTAACAATCTAATCAACTAGTCCATGTCTTTTAATTGGAGAAATAAGACTGCTTACATTCTTTGTCTTTAAGTCACCCGCCCTAGTTCTGCTGTTTTGTTGTTTTCTTCTAGTTGTTTTGAGAGGGCTACGCCTGCCTTTTTCTCTTCTGTTTTCCAGAGGTTTGGTTACTCATTGATTTAACAATGCTTGACTTTTCATGATCCTTATTTGTTTATTTTCTCTTTTCTTGTGACTTAATCTTTCTCCTGTTGTCATGGTTGATTTTATCTTACTTCTGTAATGCTGGTTTAGAACTCACAAATTCCTCTAGTTATGTATTTTGAAGGCTTTTTTTTCCTCCTTCAATTTTGAAGGATAACTTTGTTGGTATAGTAATCTAGATGGGCCGTTATGTTTATTTGGTAATTGAAAACAAAGGGGAAAGTAGCAAAATGTACTAAAAGGTTAGAAATTGTTAGGGTCTGAGAGAAACCCCCAAGAAAGACCAACAGTCACGTACGCAATTTAGCAAGAGCATTTATTGTTTGCAAACAGTTGGGGTGGCAAATAGCAACCCCAAAGAAGGTCACAAGTTCCTTTTAAGCAGAGTTAGGGGAATTCCAGGGATGAGGGATTAATCTGGTGCTGATTGGTGGAGGAAAGATTAGTCTGGGAGCTGATTGGTGGGAGGCTGTAGTAGTTAGGGGCTTACTGGTGGTGGGGAGTCTAGTGTCTAGGGGCTTGTTGACAAGAGAGTAGGAAAAACTATCTTTAGCTAGCAGAGGTCTGGGGGGGCCATCTGCTGAGCCAGCAGAAGGAGCTTTGGAGTATCTGCTGAGTCAGGGAGTCTTCAGGGCACCTGTTGATTGGTTGTCCTTAAGTTGTGGTTTTTCTTGAGAACTGCTTGCTCAGCTCCAGCCCATTCTAGTGATCTGAAACTAAGGCCTGGTCCATGTCAGGGCTGCTAGGGGAGCCTGTCATGGCCCTGGTTTGGCCACCGGGTCCTCTCAGAAATGAATAAATGTTTACAAATAAATAACAACTATAATAAAATACAGAATATATTCAAGAAAGAGAACCATGAAAGAAAGGAGGAAAGATATAATTAAACAGCAAAATAAGGGCTTGTGGGATGGCTCAGTGGGAACAGGCCCTTGCTGCCTGGCCACCTCATTTGATCCTCGAGACTCACTCTAGAGGGAGAGGACAGATTCCTATAAATTGTAACTGTATTGCTCACCGTGACCAGCAGGACACTTTGTGAATGGAACCAGTTTTAACTGCTCAGATACTCTGATCACCAGAATGAGCAGCGATGGGCAGCACCAGTGTTACCTGCACAGCCAAGCCTGGGCTGAACTGACGGTGGTATGTGTCTCCGTTGCTAGCAAACATTTGTTTTGCCTGCTGGGATGAGTGGAGTGTGGGTTGTAATATGATATGGTGTTACAACATACACTGAGTGTTTGGAGTGGAGTGGTACATGGAAACTGTCCCCTCCACCCACCACTCAGGTGATCCTGGAAAGCCTCCCACACAGTCACATGACTACTCGATTTCTCAGAGCAAAACAAGCTCTCAAGACTGACTTCTTGTTGGTCAGCCAACAGAAATTTACCATTGGCAGAGACACAAACAGGCTGGAAGTACTTCTTCCAGATTAGCAATCTCAGACTCCACGTCTTTCTTCTGTTGTCTGTGTCTCTGCTGAAAATACCACCATGAGCATGTGAGGCTCCTGTATGGTCATTTAAAATTCCCAGTCTACTCAATTTAACACCTGTCTTATTACTCAGTCTAGATCGGCTGCTCATTTATTTTGTCTCTTGTTAACCGGGTCTTCTTTTCTGTGGCTGCAAGTTTTGCATTTAAAATTTGATACAAAAAGAAAAGAAACTGAAGTAGATGGTATTTGTAAGTAAACATGAGCATGCTTGTTTTTTTGTTAGTCTGATGAAACTCCCATCCATTGCTTGTGTGTGTGTGTGTGTGTGTGTGTGTGTGTGTGTGTGTGTGTGTTTTAAAGGGCTTGCATTTTTAGTATAGAATATAAGTGAGGCCTTAGTTTTTTTTTTCTCTCCTTCACTACCACAGACCACTGCTCCTCCAAACTATGCCAATGTTAGCCAGTGCTTTGTTAACCCTTACGCCAAGGCTGATGCTGCAGGGCATGTTTATGTCTTGCTCAGTGTTCAGCTTTCAGCCTGACCTGTGCATAAGCCCTTCACGGGATTCTCTCCCACACTTCCATTTTGTTCAGTCAGATTCCTTACTTGGTACCCAGTAGCTGTTAACTTGACTGTGGTATCCAACCCAGTTTCCAGAATTCTTAAGAGGACCCCATGTTCTTGGACATTGGAATGCAGATTTCTCTGTGACCTTGTTCTTCCTGACCATCAAAAGATTGCTAGTAACACTCCCCAGGACAGTTTCCTACTGCTCTGCCCCACGTATGTATGTATGTATGTATATATTCTTTTTCGTTAGCCTCTATAAGTCTTTACCATGCCTTCAGAGGAAAGACAGCCCTATCCTTTCCCTTATGGATTTCATTCTTCAGGATAAAGAAATCTGAGCAGGACTTTCTGTGGAGGCTACTACCTGCACTTGATTGGAGAAGTCAGTTATGTGGTGACTCCTCCCTGACTCAGTGGTCCCAGAAACTTCATATTCTTCTATCAACCTCCACTTCCCCTAACACTCCACTAAACACTTTAAAGTCAGTTTCTTCACATGCTGATGATGTCATCACTCAGAAGCAGATGGTAGGTGAGCAGGAATCTCCACTACTCTCCTTTTCCTTTAGATTTCTGGATAATCATTCCCCATAGATATTCTCTGCAGAGACATCTCCTATGATGTTGCTTCTCTCTCAGGAGCATAGATTCATCTCCAATCCAGGATATCAACCTTGATTTGATTTACAAACCAATATTTATTTCCCAAATTGAGTCCACGTGTACAAATAGTCTCTCTCCTCGGCCTCTGCCCACTCCCACCTCACAATTCCCTAGTCTCCCCAATAACTTGTTAGTCAAAACAATCTTCTGTGGAGTAGCCTCGTTTGGGCTCCCTTGGTCTTCTGAGGCTGGCAGAGCCTTCCACTCACAGCTCAGTGTGTCCTGTCAATGGCGGCTTCTTGGCCAGGAGCTCAGTCCAAAAAGCCACATCCTTATCTTTTAGTCTCTGGGCTTGTTGGGTGGTGGCTCCAATCTGCAGGTACCCTTCCTTCTGGTCATACTCTGGCCAATGGGGCAGCCCCTTCCCATTGGGGTTCCTGGGAACAGGATCAAATAGAATTCCTTGAAACTCTCGTGTGTTCCCCACATTGTTATCACATCTATGGGGACCTCCAGTTTATCCCTTCCAAAGACTGTGCACCTCAGAGATGGGAGCAGCATTGCCTGAGCCCTGGCTCACAGGATTAGAGCTGATCACTTAAACTTTAAAAGCCACCCCTTCCCATTGGGTACCCTTATTGTCCCATCTCTCCCACCGTCCTGGCTCCATCTGGGTCACCAGCCTCACCCATTCCGAGCGAAGTTGGCCCAGAATTTCATCACCATCTTGCTGAGATTGATCTCCTCCTCTGAGGTGCCACCTGTGAGCAGTAAGAATAATCTTTTTGACTCAGTTCATGGTTCACACGCTAATGAGAGCAGTATCACTTAGGAGATTATTAGAGAAGTAGAATTTACACTTTCACACCAAAGCCTTTGAGTCAAAATCTTCATTGCTGGGAGACCGTGCTTTGTTGGTGTGTACTTTCACTTTGGGAATGCCTTATCTAGGGCACCACAGGCAGGCACGTAGTGCGTTGATCTGCTGGCAGTGATCCATATTCAACTCTAGGCTCCTTAATATGGAAATGCCACAGACAAGGAGTCCAGTGGAACCACGGGGTTCACAGGATTGCTGGACCTTGCATCTTTTCTTAGTATTCCCCACAAACCCACGATTAGATGTACAATGGTCCTAAGATATAATCTTGGGAGCTGCTCAGAGTGTGTCGTAAATAGCCAAAAGGTGGCTCACAGCCAGTCATGAATCACAGCAACTGGAATCACAGCAACTGCTGGAAGTCACAGTATTGAAAACATTCTGAGATGTTTTCTCTAGATATATTGATTGCAATATAGCTAAAGTATCACATGTGGCTAAGTATGCCTACGGGCAGACAGATGCACATGACAATTGACTCATGCTCAGGCACAGCTGGACATCATCCTCACACATTCTGATAAGTCATTTTGAGTGGGAAGTGAAGCAGCAATGGCATTCTTGTCTTGCACTGAGACACTCAGGTGACCCATTTCTCTTGGTGCTATTACTGGTCTAGATCCCGTTACAGAGTATTGCTGGCTTCCCCTGAGTATGTACCTTTCCTCATGTATGCTGGATGGGAGAAAGGGTTGGCACTTGATAATTGAGCTCAGCCCTGTTACCCTGAGTTGGGAAATGGACATCAAGAGAGGAGGAGAAATGTACTCGGAGCCATAGGAGCAAAACTGGAACCCAGACCTCCTAACCGCAAGCTCACAGGCAGCAAAGCACCATTACCTCTTAAAATCGGGGCACCGAAGACGGAGTAGACTTCATCCCCATGGTCTCCACTCACTGTCTTGGGTTTCAATTCTGATGAGAAGCTTGGGTGATATTGAAATTCGTACATGTAGGTGGGGGCACCAGCATCTGGGAAGACATGTGTTCACATACAGTTCATGTTGCCAGACACAAGCCTGGATGGTACCAAGGGCTTTGTAATGCAGGAGACCTCTGACTATCAGTGAAATAGAAATAATTTAACACAAGATTCTGGATGTGTTCAGCACTATGCAGTTTGTGGGATCGAAACGTGATGTTCATGTGAGGGAAACGATTATGAATGCACTGCATCCAGGAAGCACACTGGAGTGTTCATTGATAACCCACCAGCATTCATGTTCATTTCTTTTAAGAGCCACAACTTGCTGAGTATCCTGCATTCATCTCTGTTTCCACAATTCTAAGTGTTTTTCTCATCTATTCAGGAAAATGTAAGGCACTTCCAAGATCCTTGTCTGAAAATGAGGGTTTCTAAAGACAAATACAGGCAGATATGGAGCACTGGTCACTTTTGTCTCAGGAATACAACGTTGGAGAAAGCTGTCCTTCAGAAGTGATGGCAGCTTTTTCAGATAAGTCAATGAAACTCATCACTCTAGACATGCCTTACAGGAACCCTTATACTTTCCTGATTTAAGCATGAAGATGATAATGGATAATCTGAGACAAATGAAAGCACAAAAGTCAATGATACAGAACAACAAACAATATTCAGGACATCTAGCATGGCCATGACAAATATTATAAAAATATAACTAAATGAACTAAAGCTATAGCCAAAATATTTTCCATGACAAAGTGATACACATTCTGACCTCAAAGACACAAAAGTGCATAGTAAAGGGATGTGAAATGTGGAGTTGTTCTAGCAATCAAAATTGTTCTTAGCATCCTACACCGAAGCATCTAAGTGTATAAATCAAGTATCAGAAGGTCTGAAGGGCAGAAAGGTAGGTTGTAATACAATAATAAAGGGGGCTTCAATACAAGAGCACTGTTAGTGATGGATCATTCCAGTGGAAAATTCCTAAGGAAACAGATCTTGAACAGTATTTTGAAAAATCAATCTAATAGCACCATACATAATACTCCACCCAATGCCAACACAACAGCTATTAGTTTCAAGCACTCACAGAACAGTCTGTAGAACATATCCCACTTGAGGACACAACACAATCACCAGCTAATACAAGAAGATGGGAATTAGAGCAAGTATCATGGATTGAAACTAGATATCAACAGCAGGAAGAATTTTAGAAAATTCATAGACTGATGGAAGGAAACGTGGTCCTGAGCCACTAATACGTCTGTTATGAAACTAAGTGGAAAAATTAAAGCATATTGAAACAGGGCTGGAGAGATGGTTCAGTGGGGGAAGGTTTGCCACATGGAAGTGAGGAAAAGTGTTTGGACGCCCAGTGTGCACGCACATACAGTCCACCCCTGGCCTTACAGATTGATGTAATCCTAGTGGGCTGGAGGCAGAGCGAGGGGATCTGGAGCAAACTGACTCGTTAGACCAGCTGCACTGTCAAGCCCTGAGTTCAAGTCAGAGGCCCTGTCTTAATATACAAGGTGGAGAGCAACAGAGGTCTGGTCCTCACATTCACACACACAAATATGTGCCCACACCCATGAACATTCATGTGTGTGTGTGTGTGTGTGTGTGTGTGTGTGTGTGTGTGTGAAAATGGAGTCACAGCTTCCTAAAACTTATGGGATATAGCAAAAGCAGTCACATGAGAAACATTCATAGCACTAGACAACTACATCTAAAAAGAAGCAAAGTATCAAATGACTTACAGTCACACCAAAGGGACCTAAAAACACCAACAAAGTAAATCCAAGGATAGCAGGAAGGAGAAATAATCAGGATTAGATAAAAGGCCTGGAGAGTCAGCTCAGCAGTTAAGAGCATGGACTGCTCTTCTAGAGGATTTGCCTTCAGTTCTCAACATCCACATGGAGGGTCACAGCAACCATACATAGCTCCATGGGATCTAATGCCTCTTCTGGCTTCTATGGACACAAGACACACACATGGTGCACAGATGTGCATGAAGGCAAAATGCCCACAAACATAAAACTAACTAAATAAGAATATTTTTTAAAAGTGAGTTCTGAAACTATAAGAAAGAGTAAGAGAAATCAAGAGTTTCTTTTCTTTTCTTAAAAAGAAAAGCAATACTAACAAACCTTTAGTCAAACAAAGAAAAAAGACAGAAATGAAGATCTGATATTAGAAATGATGCCACAGAAGTACAATGGAGCATAAGAGAGTAATACAAACTATTTTATACACACAACCTGGATAACCTCAGAGGAAAAAAGACGTTTTCCATCTAGTATAGTCTACAAAAAATGAAGTAACGTCTGGAGAGTTGGCTCAGTGATTAAGAGGAATGGTGTTCTTCCGGAGGACCGGAGTTTGTTCATAACCCACATTGGGGAGCTCACAGCCATCCATAACTGCAGCTCCAAGCGATCCAATACAGTCTTTTGACTTCTACAGCACCTGTACACACACACACACACACACACACACACACACACACACACACACACACACACACACCAAATAGATTGAATTAGTAATAACATAAGCTTCCTACCTATGAATAAACATCCCACACATTCTGATAACTTCACAGATGAATCACACCAATCACAGAGAAAAAACTAGTATCAGCTCAAACATTCTCCCCAAATTTCTTTAAAATTCAGGAATGTAGTAGTAGTTCCAGGACAGCACTCTCTTCAAACTAAAATAAGACAAAGACATTATAAGAACAATTCAATAGCAAATATACCGTATCTTTTATAAGTATAGATATATAGCACTCAAGCAAATGCTAGTAATGAAATATAACAGCACATTTAAAGGATAATCCACTTTGATGTATTAAGATTTATCACTGAGCTACGAAAAATGATTCATTTTTGTGATGTGTAGCATTATAGAATTATGGACACAAACCAGGTGGTCATCTCCATTAAGGCCAGCCTGGTCTATATAGTGAGTTCTAGACCAGCCTACATAGTGAGACTGTCTGAAAAAATAAAAACAAAAGTGGACAAAAATGTCCACATTACACAGTGTTCAATTGGTTCAGTTCAATTCCTATCAAAATTCCAATATCAATATTCACAGATACATAAAAGTAATTCTAAATTTGTATGAACTCACACGGATGAGAGTAAAGATGCATACACACACACACACACAAATGCACACATGCAGGTTCATACTAAATCAAGGCAATCATGAGTAACAAGAACAATGTCTGATCCAGTGCTTTCATGCTGTACTAAAACTCATGTATTTAGAATAACAAAGAACTTGCAACAACAAGAAGAAGAAGAAAAAAGAAAAGGTAGACCAGTAGAATTCCATAAGGAACCCAAAATGAAGTCAAGAGCCTAAAGTCAATTGTGATTTGAATACGGCAAGACTTTCTATTTCATGAGAAAAATTTGTGTGCTGTATCTTTCACCTAGAATAAACAGTCTCTAGTTATTAAGTTATCCTTATTGTACATTCCAAGAAAGCAAAATTAGAAAAAGAAAGTCACTTCAGAAGTCACTGTTCAGAAAAGTGAATTTTCACATGCAGAAGTGTTGGTCACTTATCTCACACAATTTGCAAGAGAAAAACTAGAAAACTGGACTATAGTCTAATCCACCATCGGAAACTAACTATAAAAAACATAGAGGAAGAAAAAAACTATGACATTGCTGCAACATGATTCTCTGTATTTGACCCCAGAAGTGGAGACAACCCAGGCAAAAGTTGTGAAATGGGATGGATAGCTCCCTGCAAAGCAAAGGGAAAATAATGAACAGTCTACACAGACAACCCATTTCTGATTGTGTGTATGCATGTGTGTGTGTGTGTGTGTGTCTGCATGTGTGCAAGGTAGAAAGTGTTTTCAAATGATATGTACTATAAAGGGTTGCTATATAAATTATCTAAGGAATATGAATAATTGAATAGCAGGGAAAAAAGCAAACCAACAACTCATTTATTTGGGTAAAGATCCAGACCTGGGGGCACATGGAGGCAAGGGTGAGGCACACTTGTATTCCTAGCACTTAAGACACAGAGTCAGGAGGATATCAAGTTCATGGCCAGGGTTAACCTTATCTAAATAGAAAAAATTTGTCTCACAAAGAAAAGAAAATGACAAGGATTTGAGTAGACATTCCTTATAAAAAGGCATAAAAGTAAAAATGGATGACAAATCAAAATTGTTAACATCAGTGATCACTGAGATAATGCAAATTGGAATCACAATGAGTTAGTATCTTTCCCAGTCTGAATGTAGTTTATAAAAAGTTAATAATAGCCGGGTGGAGGTGGTGCACGCCTTTAATCCCAGCACTTGGGAGGCAGAGCCAGGCGGATCTCTGTGAGTTCAAGGCCAGCTTGGTCTACAGAGTGAGATCCAGGACAGGTACCAAAACTATACAGAGAAACCCTGTCCCAAAAAAAACCCCTAAACAACAACAACAAAAAGCTAATAATAACAAATAGAGTTGGCAATGATGAGAAGAAAAGGAAACTTATCCATACAACTTGTGTACTACAAAACACGAGGACAGTGTATAAAACAAGTTAAAAATGGAATTGACATGCGACAGGTTGATCCCAGATTTTTCATTTAACCCTCCCAAACTTGTAAGCACTGTGTTGAAAAATGCAATTGCCCCATGACTGCACTGCTCACCAAAGTCAAGTCATGGAATTACTGTGTGTCTATCAATAGCTAAATCCATAAACAGTGTGGAATACTGTAGATGGAATAATGCATGCTCCTAAAAAGGAAGATGTATTGCCATTATGACAACATACATGAAGACGGAAAACATGCTGAAAGGCCTCGGTCAGACCGAGGTAGACAAATGTACACATTTTGACTCACATGTGATTTATGACAAAAGATCTCAAGATAGCCAAGAGTGAAAGGGTCACAGGCTAGAAGCGAGAGGTGGGTGGATTGTCATACAGTCAGAATCATTATATTCATCTTCAATATGGATGGGCAGCCACAGTGCATGTGTGGTCAGAGGACAACCATGTGAGTCCCAGGGACTGAACTCAAGCCATCAGCTTTGGCAGCAAGAATCTTATCTGCCGAACCATCTCACTGGTCCCTCCCTCCACTTCTCATTTTTTAAAAAGATTTATTTATTTATTTATTTATTTATTTATTTGTTTGTTTGTTTGTTTGTTATGTATACAGTATGCCTGCGTGCCAGAAGAGGGCACCAGATCTCATTATTGATGGTTGTGAGCCACCATGTGGTTGCTGGGAATTGAACTCAGGACCTCTGGAAGAGCAGCCAGTGCCCTTAACCACTGAGCCATCTCTCCAGCCCCCCCTTTTCATTTTTTACTTATACTCTACAATATGATAAATACTGTTAATAAAGTATATTTAAAAATGCTGAGAGGAAATGTCAGGTTTTCACTAAGCAAAATTTGCTGAGGTAGCAAAGTTATAGTAATTGTTTTACATTGAACACACAAACTGCAATATCAGTTTGTATTTTTATTACTTACATATTTATTATTATTGCACTTGCTATATATATGTATTTATATGTATATGGTTCATCAATACTCTTACATAGCCTCCTTCTTTCTGTCCCTGTCTCCTCATTATAGCACTGTGTTCATCCCTTTTCTTCTTACCTGCCCCTGGGGGAATGGAAGTAGCAGCAGGTGGCTACTGTACCTAGTTTACATCATGGTTGCAAACATGAATTTTAAAACCCCCTTGGAGGACTGTATAGATGGCTCAGTGGTTAAGAGCACTTGCTTGCCTTCTAGAAGACCCTAATTTGGTTCCCATGACCTTCTTCTGGCCTCTGCAGGAACCAGCACAAACATCACACACACACACACACACACACACACACACACACACACAAACACACTTGCACATAAATAAAATATAAAATAAAAAATTTTAAAACCTTCCCAGAAAGTTAGGGAGAGCAATCCAGAACAGAGAATTATTTGCTGGCTTGCAGATTACATGAGTGAAAGCTGGGAGAGAAGAAGAACTCCACAAATGTCGGCTGTGAAGGTCACCATCCCTATGGTGAGCTCATTCTCCCTAGCCTCACAGCCATGCCCAGCACTGAGTCACATAGGAAGGTTCTGTGACAGACCTCAGCCTTCATATCCTGGCACACTCAGATGGACAAAAGCTAGCCAAGAACACTGAGAGCGTCTACACTCTTACCCGCCACAGGTCCCCTCCCTCACTGGCCTCCTTGGTCACAAGCACCCTTCCTGATTCTTTACCTCATTCCTACTCTTCCTGGCTCTGCCACTAATACTCTAAAACTAGCTCTGACTTCGAACCCCTTCCAAAACCCCACCTAGTCATTGACCTTTAACCCCATGTAGCAGTGTAACTTCATATAAGGGACCCTGTGACAGATGGTGTATCCTGTTTGCAGCCTGACTTCTGTCTGCCTCCACCACCTGTCACTCTTTACCTGAGGAATCTTTGTCTGGTTACTACACACTATTCTGTCTACTTGCACAGCAGCCCAGCACCCAACAAAATAGCAACAATTTGCACCAGGCTTAGCCTAATGGTCGATGACGGAGAAATGCCCCAATTCCCTACTACTCAGGTGAGATCTCCTTGAGACATGAGTTCTGCTTGTTTCCCAGCCCTCTGTAGCTCCAGGCATCATTCATCGGCCTGCATTTCCTTCCAGTATCAACTTGCCATTTCTCAACTCATGTTTTCTGGGACCAACACCCTTTTATTCCCTTGCAATTCAATTTGTCCTCAGATAATGTCGTTGGCGCAAATCAAGAGGACAGTGTGAAGATGAGGCTAAAAAGTCATTCTTACAGGCTTGGTGTCCACAGTTTTCACATTTGCATATGCCAGGCCGTAAGCCAGTCAGAGAGAAAAGTGGAAAAATAAGGGGTCCATCTCCTGTCCAACCTCTGGAACTCACCTCTGTGTCCACGAGCCACAATCACAGATGGGACACCAAATACCGCATCTCCAATCAGCTCCAGAAGCTGTTCTTTATTTCTGCCTGGGTCATCTGTATCTCTTAAATACTTCTCAATGACAAATGGAATCTTATCCTCCGGGAGGTCCTAGAATGGGTGAGGAAAATGACCACTAGCATGTGATTTGTGTGCCTTCTCCATTTCATTGACTATTAACCTCTTGAGCCCTGGAAAAATTCCTCCTGGGTAGTAATGTGGGAAGGTCAGGAAAAAAAATGGGGTCAGAAGGAAGACCCCAGTCATTTCATGACATTTGGGTTTGTAATCTGGGGCAAACTCACAGCTTTTCTTTGTTTCAAATAAGTTGACATAAATGACAAGTTGACATAATTCCCTGAGTGCTTACAAGAATAAAAGAGGACTTCTGTAAGAGTGATATAGCCGTCTTCTGGTCCAATGTCACTTCAGAGGGTGGATAGTTCATCATCTGTTTAAAAACACAGTAAAGTACCTTTGAATCCTTGGGAATTAGCAAAATGAACCAAATAGGCCAAATGTACTGGCTGGTTTTGTGTGTCAACTTGACACAAGCTGAAGTCTTCAGAGAAGAGCGAGCCTCGTGGAGGAAATGGCTCCATGAGATCCAGCTGTAAGGCATTTTCTTAATTAGTGATCAATGGGAGAGGGCCCAGCCTATGGTGGGTGGTGCCATCCCTGGGATAGTGGTCCTGGATTCTGTAAGAAAGCAGGCTGAACAAGCCAGAGAAAACAAGTCAGTAAGCAGTACTACTCCATGACCTCTGCATCAGCTTCTTCCTTCAGGTTCTTGTCCTGACTGTCTTCCATGAGGAACACCAATATGGAAATGTAAGCTGAATAAACCCTTTCCTCCACAACTTGCTTTCTGGTCATGGTGATTTGTTGCAGCAATAGAAACTCTAAGACAATTAAGCAATTAAGGCAAAGCAGAATAAAAGTATTGTGTTAGGCTTTGATGGGCATGGCTGTTTATGAGTTTTAAAACAGTCAGTGAAACAGATGGACTTGTACAGAAATCCAGGCATGAAAAAGATACTCTAAATATGTGTATTGATCAGGTCAAGGGGCACAATGATCCTCAAAGCAGATGGGAAACAATATCTCACAGACAACAGGGAAATCAGACATCACCTGTTGTATTCTTTGATATCTACAAAATCCTGCAGTGAGGGCTGTGGAACTCTCAGCCTGTCTCAGTACTATGCAGTGACTTGGTCTAATTCCAGCATAGCCTCTAGTAATGGAAAGCCACACGACAGGGTGAGCCAGTCTCCCTATAACGACTGTCAGAAAAGCCTGCTGCTTTGAGGAGAAATTTCTTTTCTCAACTAAAACATCGTTGCAGACAGACAGCCCTTAACATTTGCCTCAGAGAACTTGCTATAGAAACCTAGAGGTTATCCTCACTTCTCTGCCTATGGAAACCTCACACCCAAGGACCCCAATATGTGAGAATAAATAGCATTAATCCTTTTTGTAACCTCTATGGAATGTAAACACATGGGACAATTTTTGTTCTGTCTTTCAATCTCCAATGTTCTAACGGCAGTGGTGACATTGTTCCATCTTGGAACTCTATCTGCCATGAAGTGTATGCTTCTCCTACAGACAAGTTTTGAATAGGAATCCAATATCCAGCTGCATAGACTCTTCCCCTCTCTCCACAGTTTCTCTCCAAGCTCCCCGATCCTTGAAACCTCACCAGGGCTAGAGATGTTTCTAGTTGGGACTTGAGTTCAGGTCATGTTTGAGCTTCTCCCTTTTCCCACCCTCTTAGTGAAGGTAACCTGCCTTTTACCTAATGTGTGGATTTTCTTTTATCTTTGAAAAGGAAAAGTCCTTCTTCCCCTTTAAAAGTGTATTTTAACTCATGAGGGAGTGACTTTGAATCTTTTAATGATGTGCAATGCGTGCATATGTGGAGATTTATGGGAAGCATGTTCAAGTCCATGGTGGAAACTGTGGTTTCCAAGTCTGACTCTCCTGAATTTCCAGTCATTTTCTATTTAGAGACACGACCTGCTTGTCTGATTGCCTGAATCTTATCTTCATAGGCTCTCTTAGCCTGGACACTTCAAGCACCTAAGTTTAATGAAATAACAAAGTTTTATTGAGTTAGGATTTCAAGGACTGGACTACCCAGAGTCAAAGTTAGCTCAGGAAGAAATGTGTCAATGGAAGTATCCATGGACAACAAGAGACAGATACTCTAGATACAACCAGAGGTTGGGGAAGAAAGAACTCATGTTAGAAGAATAATGGACAGGCGATGGGGTTGTCTCATCTAAGGGTCTGTTTGTGCTCACCATTGGCAGAATCCAGCCAAACTCTTGTTTGTTGATCCCCACGATGTAGGGCACAGTGTTGAAGCTCTTCTCAGCCAGGATCTCTTCAGGCATCTTTGGCAGCAACACTCCATCAAGCACAGTGGGAACGAAGGGATAGCTCTAGGGGAGGAAGCGCACAGTACCAGGAATAATCCATCTCCCTTGCTGACTTTCTAAGGGAGCATCCAGAATATAAACCCTGTGGCTTGGTTAGGGGATGTGGGAACTTGGGGTCCTAAGAAGGAAATTAAGGGTCTATGTGCCAATAAGGCCTAATTTGGGGTATCTCTCAGTGGTAAGTAGAGGGTGGCAAGGAAGGAACAGAAAGGCCCTTAGCTGAAATTAAACATATACCACTGTAGAATATGTATTTCCACCTGAAGTAGATAACATCATCCAGAATGATTCTCACTATTCCTGATAGTTATGGCTGTAAAGTTGCCACAGTGCTGCATTAGTGAATCCTGAGCTAGGACTGCTAGGGAATTCCAGAACTAGGTTCCTTGGAACCTCTGCTCACAATACTGTCATCATCCTTGTGTTATATGTGGGTCCCAGTTTTAAAGACATGTTCTATAACACAAATTTATTACAAAGAATTAGCCTACAATAGAATTTATTATAATAAAACACCAGATCAATAGGGATTAGTATTTCTTCAACCACAGGTCACATACGAATAAAATTCTTTGGCTTCAGAGTCACAGTCGTGAAGTCTACTATGATTTTTAAATGCATTATCTCATAAATCCACTAATTTACCTAATTTTCCATCTTTTCTGGCTTTGTCACACACGGAAGGTATCACATGGCCACTTTTTAGTGTGGCTTCCCCAAGAACTAGGCAATTCTCTCCCTTTTTTGTATTTATTGTCATGTTGACTCAACACTGACTTCAAGGTTGAGAAGCACCATGACTCAAGCCTGGCAGAAGCCCATCCATCCATCAGGAGTGTTTTCTCCATAAGGCTCCTCATAGCCTAAGACAGACTTGGGGACACTGGGCATATCAGCATCACTGTGCTCTAAAGCATCTCAAGCAGAGAAATCACTTAAAGCAGTAAACACGGAAGGACGGCAGGAAACAGCCCTCAGAGTGGACATACGCAACTATGAGTGATGAGACAAGAAGATAAAGCATTATTACAAATGGGACACCAGGACCACGTGCCGACTGGCACTTGGTTCACACCTCCCATGCTCGGTGCAGGTGTTGTAGATGACCACAGTCATGTCACACCTGCGGACCTAGGGCTTATATGCTCACTTTAGCAAGTAACTAAATTCATAATTTATAAGATCTATAATTGATGGTGAGCTATATGTCTGTATTAATATTCTAAACTGGCTATTTTTGAAAAACCAATTCGATTTTAGCTGGTTGAAATATCACTAAACCATGTTGCAGTTAAAAATTAAATACAGAGAACAAAGAAAATACTGCTGAAAGAAAGAAGCACATGCTACATATTTGGCCCACTGTCAAGATGTGCCAAATACTCCTTCAAAATGTCCAGACCTCAAGTGCTGTCCCACCCCTCCAGGCTGGTGTTACCCCCCCCCAAGACCCTCTGCCTTCATAACTGCTATGTACAGACCTCCCAGGTGGCTCAGCCTCTGCCCTTGCTCTTTCCTACACATCACACTATTTCCACACTGAAGTGGAGGGGACTTTTGTGAGTCCATGAGGTTGTTGCTCTGTTAGAGTCCTCTGGACATGCACTGCTTCATGTGAGTCACAAGCCAAGTCCTATTTGTGGTGTCTCCCTTCTCACATTCATGACCAGCTCAGCTTCAGATCTCGTTCTTCCTCCTTGCCTCCACCCCAAACATGCCACCTCCTTCTGCAGGGCTTGGTGGCTGCTCTTTTCCTCTGCCTGTAGCATTCTTCCTCCAGGTTTCCTGTCAGCTGGCTTCCTGGCCCCATCCAGAGCTTCACTCATGAACATTAGCCACAAGCACATAAAAGACATCTCCTCTGACCCTGCCATTTACAGAAAACCACTGGCCAACTCTCACCACCCCTCCTAATTTTTAATTTAATTCTAATTGACAGAAAACATGCATATTACGTGTTCTTATGTACATTAGTCTTCTGCTACACATCTCATCTACTAGGACACAAGTCTCCAAGAAAGCAGGACATTGTACATACCTCACTGTCATATCCCAGCTGTTAAATCAACCCCCAACACAAAGGGAGTCCTTAGTAAATCATCTCTGGATGATTGAAAGGATTAATCCCATTTCCCTCTCAGAAGACCCTTTAGGGAAGTTCTGGGATGCCCCATGGTTTAAACAGAGAGGACAGCTGGCAACAGCTGGCATTGGGAAGGCGGGAGGGAGGAGACGGAGGGTGATGCTGTACTTTCCCAGGTCATAGGAGAATAGAAGTCTAGGCTCCTCCCTGTACAGCCTCTGCTCTGTTCCTCCCATGAAACCCTTAGCTAGGCATCTCTGCCTCCTGAGAGTGGAGCGTTCTAGTGGTGCCTCCCCCTGCAGGCTCATTTTGGGAGTGAAGAATATGAATGAGAAGAAGAAGAAGAAGAAGAAGAAGAAGAAGAAGAAGAAGAAGAAGAAGAAGAAGAAGAAGAAGAAGAAGAAGAAGAAGAAGAAGAAGAAGAGGAAGCAGCCCAGGGCACCAAGTTGCTGACCCGGAGCCCTCTACAGAGAGTTGTGGGTAAGTTCAACCCTCTGTCTGTGCTAACTGACCAGCAAATGACTGATTCCCATCTCTGGGTCTAAGCAATGCACACATGGGAATGACCAGAGTTCCACAAACAGAAGGATTATGCATAATTACTTGGGGTCAAAGCACTGTTAAGACTCAAGGGAAGTCTATCCCAGAATGTAATGGTTCTTACCTCTCTGGAGTCTCCATGCAAATCCAGCTTAAAAAGATTCTGTGAAGAGAAGACAGAGCATATGTTAAAGAAGCCTTCCCTATACAAAGTCTAGCCTCTGAGCTGTGTTTGGAGAGTAATCAGCCTTCCTTCCTGGTCCCTACAGTGTCCTCTTCAGGTAAGCACTGTGTGTGTGTGTGTGGTGGGGGCAACAGAGTCATGGTCACTGGTGCTCTGGAAAGGCAGCTTTTGTGGGTGCCTGACCTTCTCTTCATCTTTCCCCCTACTTGTTTTCCCTTACAACAATACCCCAAGTTCCTCTGCAAGAACTGTGAAAACAAAGTGATTGCATGTGGAGCTTGTGGTAACTTGAAGGGAGGTAGGGCTGAGATGAGCTGGAGTGGCAGGAGAAAACACTTCCCAGCCCTCACTTTCTTCTTCCTTATCCTGATGTCATGAGTTTAGGGAACTACATGTGACATGGGGTTACCATGCTCCTGAATATAAATAACAGTTCAAAGATACCTGCAAAAACAGCATAGAACTTACACCAAATATATTGATAAAGTTTGGAGAAAGTTGGCTTCCTAACAGATGTCATATTGATCTTGAGTGCTACTATCTTCAACCTCCCAGGGAACAAACTTTCTGCATAGAGAAGTCAGCCAGAAATGATGGCAAATAGAGGGATAGAGATTAGAAGGTTTCCAATACATTCTTGGCACCTGGATTCATCAGCATCCTGAGCCCCCTGCTCCTGAATGCCTCGGGTCTTAGTTACCTGAAGAGTCTGTCACAGCATGTTCCTGAAGTGAATGCTCTAGTCTTGTGTTGGAAAATTCTCATGTCTATGCTCACTGTAATTCATTCTACTCCACGCTTTCCTGTGTTGTACACTCACCATGTTCACAGTGATTACAATGT